GTGTGTGAGTGTGTGTGTATGAGTGTGAGTGTGTGTGTGTGTGTGTGTGTGTGTGTGTATTTGTCCTCTTGGCACTGTTTCGGCGAAGTCTAAAAATGCCCTGTAGCCAAAGAGCCAGTGTGTGTCAGGTCTAACTAAACCACAGCTGAACACACACACACACACTCTCTCTCTCTCTCTCTCTCACTCACTCACACACACACACACAGACACACACACACTGGCAGTGAGGAACAATGCCTGGCTTTGTAGGGGCTCAGCAGGAAAACACACACACACATATGCGGTCTAATTGGATCACATGCGCTCGATCTGTGACTCCCATGATGCTCTGCTGCTGCGTCTGGATGGGCATCCTCTGTACGGTCACAGACCGCATCGCTCGTCTCGATCGTGTCATCACTGCATTTACACCTGAAACACAGAGAAAATGTGAGAAATGGTCAAAATGACACTTTTAGGACACACTAGCGGTTCCAGCAAAGAAAATGCATGGTGAAGTGCACTGTATAGTGTCCTCGATACACAGATCTTGCCCAGCGCCGAGGTCAAGGGTTCGAATCCCAGGGAATGCATGCACTGATCAAATGTGCACCTTGAATGCAATGTAAGATGCATTCGATAAAAGTGTCTGTCAAATGCATAAATGCAAATGAAATATACATAATTAAACATAGATAATTATACTTATTTAAAAATACTTCTTGTAAACATGTATATTATAAATATGTATAATTATGCATAATTAACATGATAGAAATCTGAATAATTATTTTCAGAAGTTTTTATATTTATATTTTTCAGATGTTTTATATATTTTATATTGTTTTTAAATACTAATGCATTATTATGCATAAATATGCATGATTGTACAATTGTATGCAAATGTATAAATACATTTTAAATGAAAGTTTGTAATGCTGTACAATTATGCATAATTCATATATATTATAAATATGTATAATTATGTTTATTTAAATAAATTTGGAACTTGCATTCAAATGATTCAGCTGAATTTGTCAGGCCACACCCAAAAATTAATTGTGTAATATCCATGAAACAATTTGACCAATTAAATTTATCTTCCTTTAGGACATAATGAGTTAATTACATTTTTGAAAATTTATTTTTATAAAATTATTTTTAACAAAATATTTTTAAATACATAATTATAATGAATTTATAATTATAATAAATTATAAATAAATAAATATAAAATAATTAATAAATGAATATATATTATAAACACATATAATGTATAATTAATACATAACGTAAATATTTTATTTTTATGAAATTGTTTTTAATTAACAAAATATTTTTATAATTATGTATGATTACGTACTTTAATACATAAATATAATATTATTATAATTACACACGTAATATAAACATTCTCATGAACTGGAACAATGGCTCAGAAAAGCCTTTAAAATGAGCAAAAATTACTTATAGCGAAGTACTTACTATATAAAACCTACTTATATCGTAGAAAGACGCACAAACAAGTCTCTCTGATTTACGATCTCTGATGCATCTGTTTTAAAGCACGAAAATAATGAAGAACAACAAAATGAGAAGAAACACTATAGCTTTGAAACCTTGAGAAAGCAGACGAACGAGCAGAAAGAGTAACAGGATGTGAGGCCCGAGAGCTCGAGTTTCAAACATCGGTGAATCCCTGAGAGAACGGATCGACTTTCAGCAATAAAACCCAGCAGAATCAACACAGAGATTCACACACACACACACACACACACTCCAGCCAGAGAAAAGACAGATAAACAGCGTAGAATAAATCGTGGTATCTCGTATAACAGTGCTTGTTGTTCACTACTCACTGCTGTGTGTGTGTGCATGTGTACAAATTCCGAGTATGAGACACTACACTTAGCTTCACGTCACATCACTTTCACTTTCATAATTATTATTATTATTTAAAATACTTTATATAAATATATAATCATTTAATTTTATAAAAGTATGCTTTTTATTAATTGCACAAAATACTTGTTTACATATAGGTATGTACAATTAATATATATTTTTTTTATACAAATTATATTTTCTAATTGCACAAATTTATATTTTTGAAATAAGTATAACTATGTACACTTAATTCATATATATATATATATATAAATAATATGCATTTTTATAAAAAAAAAAATACTATTTTTAAAATTACACAACTTTTTATACATTATATTTTATACATTATAAAATAACTTTTTATTTACATTATAAATATGTTTATTTTATTTTATAAATTTATATTTTTTAATTACACAAAATATTTTTAGATATGTACCATTATATACACTTCATTAATATATTATAAATATGCATAATATATAATAAATACACATAATAAAAAATGAATCATTTTATTTTTATAAAAGTTATATTACTTTTTTATTAATTACAAGCCCAAACCTAAAACCAAGACAATGTTATTTGCAAAAACGGACTATTTGTGCTGATGTGTGTGTGTGTGTCGTCTTACCCCGGCCCTCATTTGTTCTGGTCTCTGATTCTCAAGCATCGTCTCTTCACGGCTGGTTCTGGATCGTCCCGTCCGCTCGGCTCGGATCCCAGATCCGTGTTTTTCTCCCAGGTTTGTGTTTGCGTGTGTAAATGCGTTTGTGTGTTTTTCTCGCGTAGTTTGGGCGGTACGGACCGCGCGTAGGTGTGCTCTACATCCTGCGGCGCTTCCTCCTCCCCCCTGCTCTCTTTCGATTGGTCGCTCCGGCAGTCCGTCTGCTCTGCTGGCCAGCGATTGGCCGAGCCGTCGTCCCGCCCACTCAAATAGCTGTTCTCTTTCACATCTTCGCAGACGGAGAGAGGAGACTGAGAGGAGCTGTCCAGTGAGAACGAGGTGGCTTGTATGGTGGTCGAACGAGCCAATGAGTACAAAGAGGCGGGAGTAACGATTCTAGAGGCCGTCGCCGTGACGACAGACGTGTAAAGTGCTTTGTGCGTTGGAGATGCGCACGTGTGAGTTTCCTCTTTCACCGGGTGTTTGCGGAGACACTGAATCACCTGGCGCTCCGACGCGAAAGGAGAAGCGCATCGTTCGGTCTTTACTTTTTTGTTGGGCTCCTCCGAGTGACCCGGATCGGGTGTACGCTCGTGCTCCTGAAGGCTTCGAATGACTCCTTTGTGGCCCATTTGAGGGAAAACAGGGATGGGAATGGGAATCGGCACCGGGATTGGCACGAAAACCGGGTAGGGTGATAACATCATGGGCTGCGGCCAGGGCGGGGGTAAATGGGGCGGGTACGCCGGGTGGAAGGGCATGTAAGGGGCGGGGAAAGGCTGGAGGAGAGGAGGCGGGGCAAAGGAAGCCCTCTGGTTAGGGC